TGCGATGCACGACTAGCCAATGGCCTCCTAATCGGGTAAGGCTTGCAACATCCTCGCGAGCATCGTTGACAGCTCTATATAGGATATTTCTTCCTAAGTCGAAGTAGATATCTAATAAGGAGAGGCGTAATAGCGAGACAAGGCTAGTGAAGAAGGATTAGATCAGAGCCACGCGCTTCAGCGTCGTTGTCTTGATGCCACTTGGTGTTGATAGAGGCAGGTTGACTTCACCCCATGCCTCGATTTTCGTCTCAGTTTCTCCTGCGAGTACGACGTCGTCGTCAGCTGCTAGAGCTTTCCACTTAAACTCTACAGGGTTATTACAGATGTAAATATCAGTAGCTAGATCCAATGTTCATGAGTAGATAAGTGGATATTATTAAGACGCTCTCTAGTTATTAAACGCAGAAAAGAAGACGGCATATGCTTCGTGCAGGGAATGTTCAGCTAGTGGGTCTCCTGCGTCAATTTCTATCGAATCGGAGTCTGACGCTTTACCATGCTTGCTACCGTCTCTAGTCTTATACTTCTTAAAGCGTCGATTCTTTTCCCGAATCTTGTTTAGTACTCCACGGCTATCCTTAGCCTCGAAGTCAGCAATCTTCTTGGCTTTTTCAGGGTCTACGACGAATCCGCGTTGCTAGAGTGCTGTATTAATGTACTGGCATTGACCCTAGAAGTGACTGTCGCCGCAGAGGCAGGGCTTTATTAGTCTACTTAAGTTATCTCTCGATCGTTTCTTGTTGTAAGGAGATAGCTGGCCATTTATTGTAGCTGCAAAGGTGCCTCCGTGGATGTTTGCCTTTCTTGAGTAGGTTGTACGATAGTAGCGTAGGTATTCTGCAAGAACGGTAGAGAGCTGAGATTGATGAGGTATCGGCTTGCTGCGATCTGAGTTCCAGTTCTCCTCAGCTTTGAATATGTCGAGTGACGCGCTGGCAGCGTATGCAGCGTCTACTTGCTTGATAGCTCGAAGAAGGTCCTTGTGTGCTCGAAATCCGTGTACTTCAGGCAGATCGAGTTGCTTTGCTCTACTGTATGCTGTGAGAAACTCGTTGCACTAGTCTTTAACGTTCGATCGTCGAGCATGTAGAATCTTGGCCGCTTTGTAGTCCTTCTGCACTCGATATTCNATATCGGACGTAGTGGGAGAGAAGAGATCTTGTAGTGTCTTAATCTGATCGTGGACTGTTGCCTTNTCTTTAATATGATACAGTAGTTCCTGTTGTATAGTCTTAGTGATATGCGCTTCTACTTGGCCTAACTTATCTCGAAGACGTCTGTATTCTTTGAT